CAGCACAATGAGGAGCCTTGTGAGAATTCAGCACAGCCCCTCTCACCATATACAGTGCTAATCTAACAGCGTTCCTGGCACTCTGAGATAGCTTGTGTGATTGAATTTAGAATTGTTCACTCAGTTGGCTGAGTAACTGAGCTGACAGTCTTTCAGGTTGTAGTGCTTAGTTTAGTAGTGTGGTGATTAGTCTATGCAAGTTGATACCAGCTTAAAGAAGTCTATATTATAGAAACAGAAAAGTGGTGAAGCTATTCCATTTTCATTTGAGTTTATTGTTATATTTCTAGCAACACAAACAGAAATTAAATTGAAGTTCTCATTTTCACAACAGGAATGTCCTTAGCTTAATGTTCCTTGGCATACTTTGAAGGACAACTTCTTGAAATAATACTTTGAAATTAGATGGTGAATTTTGAAATTATAGTATGAATTATGTTCTTAAACAGGCTCTTCAGTTAACATTAACTAATAGTATTGACTGTTACTTGAAACAAAGCTGACATTTTGCTGTGCAAAGTAGTAAACACCCATCCAAATGCAGATCTGATCCAATGTTCAGAAGGTAGGAAGTAAGGTAAGGCAAAATGACAAATTCCAGAGATCATTTTAAGCCAAAAAGCGTTTTTCAGGCTTCAAAGAAGTCGATATGAAAGATATAAATAGAAAAAGTTTCTAAATGGGCTTTGAATTAGGAGGACAATGATAATATTTGAGAAATAGGCAGTAAGATTATGCCAAATCATGAAAAATTACCTACGTCCTGTGAGCTTCCGAGTACATTGGGATACTGCAGGGAGGCTAAATTACAGCTTTTATAACACGGTATTTAAAAAGTAATCATTAGGACACTTGGAAATTGAAACTGTATTACTGGTCTGTTAGTGATGAACATAGTCAGAAAATGGTGATGAGTAAGAGCTACGTGGTGCAACTGGCATGGGTCATCTAAGTAAAAATAAACTTGTTTACAGCCTGTGATTTTTCCCTCCAGAGTATGTTGTGATCAAGGAGTGAGTGTTATCAATATTGCAGTACATTGACTGTTAAAAAAAAAACATGCAGTGAAGGGAAAATGGATAAAGTTGCAGAACTTTGGAGGACAATTATTTAGGTAAATCCAAACTGAGAAATAGCACCTGGAATAGTATGCCAGTTAAAACAAGCTGTAAATAGAATTATAGAGGCAAATGCTGGCAACTGTAGAGGCAAAGTAAATCACATTGGAAGAAGTAGTTTAAAGTATTGCTGAAATGTAAGCGACCTATAGCAGTGTAGGTAAATGGCTCTAGAGGTATCTTCCAACCTAAATAATTCTGTGATCAAATGTCAAAGTTGGACTTACTGCAAGCAGGGTATTGGACCTCATTGACATGGTGATACCGTGTTTTGAACTACCAGTGTGAGAAAGAGATACAAGCATTAGTACGGATTAGTACCTTCTATGGCTTATCTATTATTTAACAAAATGCAGTGGAAGAGCTGAACTATTTTAAAATTTAGAGAATACATAGCTAAAACTGAAGAAATGTCTGGATAAAAAGATAATTCTGTATTTTTAACCCAACTTCATTATCTTCAGTTGAACAGCTACAATTCGTACCAGTGAAGAACATGACTTAATGTTTTTGCCTATCAATCTGCCCCGAGGTTTGGGTATCGAATGTATCATTGATTTTAATTACAACTTACTTCTGAGTAACTAAACCAAAACCCTGCTATCCAAGATTTCCATGAAAGTTTTTTAAACTGTATCTGTTGAAAATAGGACAAGATCATTGCCTAGTAGGAATGTTAAAACGAAAACTGGAAAAAAGGTCAGTAGGGTAAGAAAGCTGTCACTTGCCTATGTGGCGGTTGCAGCGGGTTGTTTACTCCATCGGGTTACTAGAGAGTCACTCTTCACTGGTTTTGTCCAGTACAAAAGCAAACAGTTGCTGTAAGTCTTCCTTTTACTGCATCTGCTAGCTCATACATTTTAAAGTGAGTGAAGACTTACAGCATTTTCTTTCTTTGTTGTTCAGGACAATAATAAAGGTAATAAAGGCTGGAAAGTTGTGAGAACGTTTCCTAGCATTGTTCACATATCTGCACGATTGCTTGCACAGATGTTCTCAGCAGTAGTGTCATATTGCTGTGCTTTATCAGAAGTTTGTATGTTTGCATTAAGTGCTTACACCTTTTTCCATCTTCTAATTTTATATCAACTGATAACAAAATAGAATATTGTTGAAAATAGCTATGACCATATTGATAGTTGTTTGGTTGGGTTTTTGTAATTATATGCATATTTTCAGCACAACACTCTGTGTGTCAGAACTATTTTGTCAACAATAACAGGCAAAGGTTCTGAAGCATGAGGGGCTTCTGTAACCATTTCATATGTTTTAGTTGTATTAACAGCACATTCTTTGCTCTGTATTTGTGAATATTTCATTTTATGACTTACTATTTGTAACCCATACTTTCAGTAACAGTCCCCATATTGGGTCTCTCACTGTGTAGATTTACAAAGTAAGAAGCTCTTAATCTGCTCTGTGAAGTAACCATATGATGTTTTGAGTTCCTTCTCAGGAAGTAGCTTTTCCTATCTCAAAGTGCACTCATTAACACTTGACCTGGTAGGTAGTTTTACACAACCAAATTACTTGTTTTGTCTCAATGAAGTATATTTTGTTTGTTCCTGATTTTGATTCACAGCAAGTATTGCAGCTTCATTACTATTCAAACAACATATCACATACAGCTGAAAGCTAAAACATTTGTTTTGATTTGGTTTGTTCTCCCTCCCCCATAGTCTTTGGTATTCTTGTGATTTTGGTGTATTTCAGTGTAGTTTGCTGTATGCTACGAGCTTTTCTAGTTATTGCTGTCCAACCTTGTTTTCTTCAAAGCCTTAAGACAGACTATGGAAATTGATAGTATGGATCTATGTATAGGGTGCTTTTCAGGGCCAGAATGCCAAATAGTGGGTTAGGTCCCTCAATCAGCTTCATCAACGGCAAGACTTTCCAAACGGCTGTTTTCACACAACATAGTTTTCCAGTGATAGAATGAAGTTTAAGAAATTGCCAGTAATACCAGACTTGATAAAAATTCATCTTTTTATATGCACCTTTGCATCTCTGCTTTTTCTTCTCAGAACTGCAGCAAATTTCTTCCTCTAATTTAGGATTGGAGTCTTTTTTTTCTTTTCTTGGCTAAGGTTGCTCTTGCTTCTTTTACCATCTTGTTCCTTCCCCCACTCTCAGTTGAGGGTGATGGAACCTTGTCCTGGTTTCAGCTGTAACAGCTGGGTTTTCTTTCCTTCCTAGCATTCTTTCATGCAATATCAAGCTGAATGTTTCTTGACTTGACACCTACACCAGGTTTAGCACTTTCTGGTTTCAGGGTTCTTTTCTTAATTGCAGCTTTCTTAAGAAATGCTGATAAAATATTATCCATCTTATTATAAGAAAACTTAAATGCTCAGTATTTTTACTAGGTTTATGAGTTTTTACTAAATCTTTTCCTGTAGGTGCACTATAGTAGATGGTAAAAATATGAATTGGCTTCTTGAATGAAAAAGTATCATCCATACCTGCAGTACATATTCTATGGAAAATTATTCTAAAAGATCCCTCTGCAGTGTTATATAGTGCAGTGATGACATATCAACATATAGATACAGCTGTGGGGACAGATATTCCAAATCTGTTAAAAATTAATTGAAAATATTCCCGATCACAGCAAACATTCCTTATTTAAATAGCCATTTCTTAGAGAGTTACTGATGAAATTTGACTAGTTCAGTAGGCTCACTGGTGTTAATGTAGTATTCTGGCAATGTATGACTGCAGCATATGCTTGTCAAATTTCTAGGACTTTGCCATAACTATATTGAAATTGTTTTTAGTGCATGTAAAAGTGTTTTAACCCTAGGGATTTTTAACTGTTCTTAAAATAAGAATCATTATTCTTGCTCTGGTTTGATTTTTTCATTCTTTAGGTTTAACTGGTAATCAAAAGTTATATGAGTTTCATTTGCAGATATTTAAAACAGGTTATTGTCGTGGCTGGTGAGCACTCAACAGACAACTAGCTATCTTTGCCAATAAACACTGCAGACAATGAAAATACGCTTTTGGAAGAAATGAGCACACTAGAAGTCTCACCTGAAATGTTTGATGTTTCAAAACTGCAGTGCTTTGTATTATGTTGTCAATCTATCAGAATTTATTACAGTATATGAAACTAGCTTTGAATTATCAACTATGTAGACACTTACGTTCATGTAATTTGTAAGAACTCTTATAAAGACTGTTTAGTGGTTTACTGATCCTTGAAAGTCCCATCTAAAACATCTGTATATTCCACTTCAGTTAGTATTTAACATACCTATATGTAAATCGCATGCTTGTTTAGTGCTTGGCTGTTTTCCTTGATCTATTTAATTTGGTGCTTATCTTCACCTTTTCAAGACAGGAATTGTCTCTTTCTGTCCTTTCTCCTCTTCTGTCACTAGAGAAGCTAATTCAGTGGTCCAAATGATGTCTATGCTGAGATTTACTGCAGTAGAATGTATTCAAAATTGAAGCAGGACTGTATAGTTATTTTTTAACAATTTCTTGTGCCTTGAAATATTTCTTTATTTTTTAAACAAGTAACTGAATTATAAGCATTTTAGATAACAAGTCTTTTCAAGTGAGCCTTAGCACAAAGTAATAATGTAGTTGTATATGAAAAAGTATGAATACATAAACAGGAACACTTCTTATATTTTATTAATAACAAGCTGGTAAAAAATTAAGGATCTTCAGCTTTGTTTTACTGGAGTGGATTGTTAGATACAGTTTGTATGTAAGCCTAGTTAATTTTTTTAATGCTGTTTTGAAAAAGTAGAGCAAGGGTTAGGTACTTCTTTTGAAGATAGTTTAGCTGATATGTTTGGGATGTTGCTTGCCAATGGTAAAGCTTATTAATAAACTCCTTGACTCATCCTAGTGTGTATTTTAAAACAGGTGAGGCTAATGATAAGGATGTTCAGGTGGTGGAACTTCCCATTGTTGACAGCTTACACCCACGGCCACCTTATTTACCGTTGGCTGTCCCTGAAGACCTGGCTGATAGGCTAATTCGTGTACATGGGGATCCTGCTGTGTGGTGGGTCTCGCAGTTTGTGAAATACTTGATACGTCCACAGCCTTGGTTAGAAAAAGAAATAGAGGAAGCCACAAGGAAACTTGGTTTCAAACATCCAGTGATCGGGTGGGTATTTAGTTTTCTTTTTAACTCTCTGTGATATTTAATATATATATATAGTGCTTTGTGTTCAGGACAAACTGTTTTATGATGGTTACTCAAGAGCCTCTAGCATTTTATGGGGAGAAGGTGTGCTTTCTACGTGAAGCTATTATTTTTTAACTGTGCATAATACAAGTTGATTAGAAGTACTTCTTCAGCATACTTGTCCACCTATGATTTGACTGATGTCCTTCTATAGCTACTAGTGTAATACAGAATTTCATTCATGTAATTGCCTTACAGCTTGTATTCCAGACACCTTTCTGTCTGGGTCTTCTTTTCAAGTGCCTGTAGCCTTTACATTTGAGGAAAAAAGGCTAAGCCTGCATTTTATATGCCACAATCCACAACTAATTTTATTGTTGACTGCACCTAAACATGGTATGTGCTTTTCCATTTCCTGCAGATGCTTTCACTATTGCTGTTTCTTATCAGTAACTATGTATTGGAAAGGTCCATATGGGGAGAAGAAAGGAAAGCATCTATAGGCAATAAAGAACAGCTTGTGGAAGAAAAGTTTTATTGTCATATAACATGAAAAATGTTGTTGTTACTTCTACTAGAGTCTGCAAACACTGCTTCCTTTGCCAGAATTTGCCTTCAATGCTTAATCTTTCTTTCTGTAGGAGTACAAAACAGGTCTGTCCAAGAGTTAGTTGGCTTTTGACCATTGAGTCAGTAAGCCACTTCACCATTGAAGACATGTTAGATTTCAAGCAAATGGGGAAGATGCATTTAACTTCCTTCATTCAAACCCTGCGTTGCAGGTTGTGTCACAATATATCCATGATGCAAATACTCCTATTTTGCTTTTGGACTGTATTTATGAAGCATTATCTAATGACACCAGATAACCTTCTGCATAAACAGAATATCTTGTATGCTATAATTATCTCTCCTTCATTCTTTTCTTTCAGTTACCCTTTGCCTTCCTTGCAAGATTATTATATTGCTTTCAAGAACAGACTGACAGCTAACTTCATGTTGTCAGTGTGTCTTGATGGACATCAATGAATCTAATCCTTTCTTGTTTTATGTAGGGATTCATTTTAATATGCATTCTAGAAGTGCACGCATGAAATGTAAAGTTAAAATTTCAGTTGCTCAATTATTAATTGTATTTATAAATTGAAATCTGAGTTTCTGCCTTTTTCCAGTGTTCATGTTCGAAGGACAGACAAAGTAGGAACAGAAGCAGCATTTCATCCCATTGAAGAATATATGGTACACGTTGAGGAACGGTTTGAACTTCTTGCTCGCAGAATGCATGTTGATAAAAAAAGAGTGTATTTGGCTACTGATGACCCTTCACTGTTGCAAGAGGCAAAATCCAAGTAAGATGAACTATGTTTGTGTTACAGTTTGTGCCTTCTGGTTAGCTTTACAATTTCTGACTATTGTGTGCACAATTCTTAAGGTTTTTTTGCTTGTTTTTTTTTTTAAGCTATTAATTTATTTTGGTTATAATTTATATATTAGATTGCATTTCAGCTTCCAGTGATTCTGATTTTTCTCTGAGACATTCTTTTTTATTTTGGATGATTTTTTTTTCTGCAAGTATGCTTTTCAAAGTTTAACGTTAAAAATCCAGAAGAGCAGAGCAAGATACCTGTGACTACTTAAAAACAAACCTGTAATGCTGTAAAGGGCAAATAAAAATAAAAATATAAATAATAAATACACCAAACTTTCTATAGAACATAGATATTAAAAATAATCACAGAATGGATTGAGTTGGAAGGGACCTGTGGATTTCATGGAATCATAGAATAGTTAGGGTTGGAAAGGACCTTAACATCATCTCTTCCAACCCTCTGCTGAAGCAGGTTGCCAGAGAAGGTTTTGTAAGCTGGTTGACAACCTTTTGATGACCTTTTCAGAAAGATTCCTATATAGTGAATTTAGAAGACTTTCACCTTTCATGCTGAATAATTTTAAAGTTTGTCCTTAAATATATGTAGGATTCTCAATCTGTAACACTGTCTCTGTCCCTTATTTGCTTCTTGCCCTCTTCTAGCTCTCCAGAACATGGGTTTACAACCTACCTTAGGTATAGGATATCTCAGCTTGTCACAGAAAATATAGCTGTGTTCAAACTTGGAAATGCACAGTGTGCATTTATTTACTCCTAACATGGCCTGTATTTTTATGTAAAAACTCACTGTTAAGTTGCATGCCTTGCAAGGTGCCACTGAGATGGCAAACCCTTCTGCTTAGTAAAAGAAAGTAAGCACATATGCAAGAATAATGTTCCATATTTAACTGTTTCTTTTTTGGGTTATGGTGCTTATGGTACATAAACGATTTCACAAAAGCTAATTGCCATGACAGTGGAAACTTGGATATCTATATCAGAAGCATTGAATTGAAGTGTATTCATTACTGAGCACAAGTTAGCACATTTTCCTTTTGAGTACTACTTATTTATCTGTCTACTCAATAGCACCTATTTCTGTTTCCAAAATTTTTTCTCCCTTGAACAGAAATGTATGCTTTGGGTGTGTTTTTTTTTTTAATTAAAGCAAGGGAATTAAAATTTTAAAATGAAGGTAACTCCAAAGTAGGAACTTTTTTAACTGTTTTATTCTTGGTAGACATGCTTGGAAAAATATATAAGATTATATTCTGGATTACAAATTGGTTTTGGCATAAGGTAAGTGGAAAATATTATTTTGTAGTAGAGCATTGCAAGCCTGTGTGTTTCGATTGTGCTATTTCTATTTTTCTTTCATATCTACAAATGGCTACTGTTCAAAATGATGGAGTTTTGAAAAAACTAAATGAATACACACAACTCCAGATGATGGCAATCGAATCCTTCCTTTTTTGTATATGTAGAGACAAGAACAATAACAGAAACAATTATGATAACATAACATTTAAAGTGCAAATCTGAAAGTGCAAATCTGAACAATGAAAAGACAAGTAATAAAAAAACGAGGTTACAATATTTAATTAATCTACGTTGCCTGAAATGACTTTAATTACTGTTTGTAACATGACAGATTTCAGTATTGCTGTAGCAAACTTAGTTACGCTTTTTTTTTGTGTTCAGCTTTCAATCCTTAGCACAGTATACTTTAGTGTTGTGAATAATGAGATGTGCTACCTATGTAAACATAGAGTTGCTTGCATGTTGCTTGATCAAGCAGAAGGCATTTGAAACTTCCCATGATTTCATAGATGCAGTTTGATGTTTCAGCACTTAAAGGCATCTAAAGACAGGTTAAGGTCAGGTTTTTAGAATAAAGAACCTTTTCATCCTCTTCTTGTGAAGAAAAATACAAATTAGATTACACTTCTGACAAAAAAAGTTCCAGTCACACTGAACTACCAAGCTTTGACACAGACGGCTGTCACAATGTACCACAGTAGCTTATGTTGCATTCATTATTGGGTGCTGTAATACTAGTGAGTACTAGCTAGATATTATATCTGTCTATACATGAGAATGATTGGCTGTCAAACATTGTTGGCATTTAAAATTTTGCCAACATTCACATGAATAGGCATGTTTCTATTAAGAGAAGTGTTTCAAACTATTCATAGTCATGAAAACAGAAATGTTTTGACTGAAGTTTCAGAAACTTCCCTCGCATTCAGATGTCTACCAACTGCAAGTATGGTGGTGGAGTTAGTACTATCGATGCATAGTGGTTTTTGTTTTCTTTTCCAAAAGGAAGAAAGAAGTGAACGTATTTTCAGAATTAGGAGAGGAGCATGGTAGACAGTTCAACAGCTTTTATAACTATGGGATTAAAGCACTTAATAGAATCATAGATGGTTTGGGTTGGAAGGGACCTTAAACTCACCCAGTTCCAATCCCTTTCCAACAGATCAGGTTGTTCCAAGCCCCGTTCAACCTGACCTTGAACACTTCCAATGATGGGGCAGTCACAGCTTCTCTGGGCAACCTGTGCAGTGTTTCACCACACTCAGAGAGAAGAATTTTTGCCTAATGCCTAAACTAAATCTCCAGTCTGTCAGACTGAATCCATTCCTCCTTGTCCTGTCACTCTCCAGACTTCTTGTAGGCCCCCTTTAGGTACTGGAAGCTACTCTAAGTTCTCCCCAGACCCTTCTCTTCTCTAGGCTGAGCAAGCCCAACTCTCTCAGCATGACTCCATAGCAGAGGTGCTTCAGCCCTCTGATCATCTTTGTGTCTTCTGGACTTGCTTGAGCAGGTTCACGTCCCTCTTGTGTTGGGGCCCCCAGAGCTGAATGCAGGACTGCAGGTGCAGCCCAGGACACGGCTGATTTCTGAACTGCGAGAATACACTGCCAGGTCATGTTGAGTTTTTTGTCAGCCAACATTTGACAATTTCTAGAGCGAGGTGCCCCTGCCCATGGCAGGGGGTTGGAACTTGATGATCTTAAGGTCCTTTCCAACCCTAACTATTCTATGATTCTATGATTTTTCTTAGCTAAGTGATATCTAAGTTAGGGATCGTGTAAATTGCTTGCTCTTTGGCTGATTTAATAGTTTTTTAATATAATTTTTTGAATTTCTAGTATACATGTTTCTAGCATGCATTATATGCAGCATCTCTCTTTAAGGCAAAGTATTGAAAATAATGCAGTTGAACATGTGAACAGATTCTTAAGAAACCACATTTAATACCTTTCTGGTTTATGTATTAATCTGTTTAGGTCTCTGTCATGTAAATAAGCACTCAAATTCAACAAAATACATTCTTCCTTTTAAAATATTTACCTGTCAAGTTATATGTATTTTGCTTCTTCAGTGTTTTTGCAGTAATTTTCCTCCTTTATGAGGTCTTGTTTTTTCTAGCACTTATGAAAACTCCCCCCCCCCCTCAGTATTTCACTATTTACTTCCACAATAGCAAGTTAATGTCTTTTCTCTGTGTGTACTATCTATATTTCAGTTGTTGTAACTGTCCCTGCCCCGAATCATAGTATGTCTGATACATACAATTCAGTAAAGCTTCAAAGTTCTTCAGCCTGGTGAACAGCTCATACATTTTTCAATCCATTGTAGAGCAAGACCTGAACAAACACATTATTTCTTAACCCATCTGTTTACACACATGCTCACACTCTTCCTTTAGAGGGAAGAAAATTTGCATTGCCTGTTCTGGACACTTTCCCAGTTGTAGCAAATTGAGAGCTGGAGCATGGGACTCGACTTGGTTTGTACCTGCTAAACAGTGTAGAGATAAGATATAGTTAACACGGCTAGTTAAACAGCTTCTAAAACCAATTGGAACTTGAAATAGTCTCATAACTGTGTTTGGTTTGTATCTGAGGCTGGTAGTTGCAGGATGGAAAGAAAGATTTTGAACTCTCTCTTCCCTGCCTTGCTCTGATTTCTTCTTTTCCCCTTTTCCTAAGGGGAAAAAGAAAAAAAAAAAATTCCTTTCTGGCCTAAATATGAGTTTCATGAATATATTCGGTAGCTTTAGAAGAATTAGATTTATATTTTTTTTAGATATGTTGAGGATATATGCTATGTATATATAGTCTGATACAGAGAAACCAGCATTATGCTGTTTTGTTTGATCTTCACAGTCTTCTCCTTTCCTGTATATAGAAGAGAGTGTGTGGGTAATTTCTTTGGAAAGCTAGAAGGGATCCTACTCTATTTAGGTAATGCTGTCAGTTAAGAATATGACATCTTGGTATTTATTATTCATTTACAATGCATTCAGGAATCATAGTAATAGGATCATGTCTGTGTTCTGCTTACAAAAAAAAAAAATCCCAAAAGCTTATAACAGATATATTACATTAATCACAACACAAATACAGACAGAAAAGGGAATAGAAGGAAGCAAGAGCTAACTATAGAGCTTTAGGAGTTTCATTTTGTCTGTTCTTTGTAGTCATTGTGTAAGAATAGCTTTAAATAGAATCTAAAGCACTGTAGTGAGTGGGAAGGAAAATTAAACCTCGCCTGATGCGGGAAGTCAGTGGGCCACATAAGGCTAAGCTTGAGAGGAACACAGGTTTGGCCTTTTACTGTATTTTTCTTTATGCTCTGCTTTCAGTCTGTGTTGGAGACAGGATGCTGGACTAGAACTCTTTGGTCACACTGAGTATGGCTGCTATTATACTCCCATTTTAGGATGTTTAAAAGAAACCTCTTTTCCTAAGCATGAATATAGCAGTATGTGCTATATGTGTGTGTGGCTGACCTAGTTTCAGCTGTAACAGTTGTGCCGCAACAGTGGCACAGCATAAAAGTGCTTGTTTGAAAACTTAAAATACGTGAGTAAATAAATGCTAAGCTCGGATCATTGCTTGGAAGAAATGGGTTCTGAAACTGTTGGTTGAGTGAATTTGGCTCAACTTTACAAAATGTCATTGAACACCAAATTTAAAAGCATCTCAAAGACTGCAGAAGAAGGAGAAAAAAATTAAATACGTGCATGCAAAGATGTGTGAATAATTGTTTGAGTTTGAGGGTTTTCAGTTTTGTTTTGTTTTTTTAACAGATTCAGTATGATGCACTTTTTGGTGTGCTGCTTTTGTGAAGCTGTTAGACTGATCTTTTGCTAGTAGGAAATCAGATTCTTCAGGAATGGTTCTTTTGTCTTTACTCAGCATCAGGGTTCTGATTTTCAAAATCTGAAGTTACTAATTTTACCAGTATTCCTTATGCCACAAACTGGCAAAGGGTGTGCAGATATCTTCAGTATATTCACTGTCGATAGAAATGACATCTTCTGTTAAACATTCTTTGTGTTGCTCCCCTCGAACTTGTGTCACTGATGCCCATCTCTGTTCCTCAGCTGTTTACACAGTAGAGTATGACACATTTCCATTTGGCCTGCTCTTTTTTCTTTAAAAACATACTAATATAATTCAAACAATGGAAACAGAATGTATCACAAATCTTGTGTTGTCATCTGTTGTATTTTAAGAGCTGATTAAATATTGATGTTAATTTTAGACCTGCAAAGATAAGAAAGAAAATTATCATTGTGATAGAGTTAATTCTGAAAAAACTATTTCTTATATATGCTTCTATAATTTCGCAAAAGAGGTCAAATCAGTTACTCCAGATGAGTATTTCCACCTTCTCTTCCTTGTGTTTTTGTTTTGTCTTGGTTTTGATGTAACATGAACTTCCCCTGACATTAATGATCAGATGCGCTCTTTAAAGTTGTCATCCTATCTTTAGGAAATTTACCACACATACGTTATTTTTGTTAGAGCAGGTGTTTCTCTGCTCATACATAACCATAAAATAATAATTATTATTTTTACATAATTATTATGTATTTTACATAATTATTTAACAGAACATAAAATTCTCTTAAGATCACTGTAAAGAGAAAGTAAATTCTTCCTGAAATATGGAAGTTTTCCATGTGGGTTCTTGATTCACTCTTGAGATTAAATGTCTTGATTTGGTGGTTGCAGCTAGACAATGTTAAATGAAAGAAACTTGCTATATTTCAATATTAAAGTGGAATAAGCTAGGCATGTTCTTTTAAGAGGTTGTCATAATTATGTCTACTGTATGTCCAGAGCATATGCACACACTGCGTGGTGTACAAGAGCATGCTAACTTCAATATCTTTCCAGTAACTCTTGAGTGTAAACCTTATTCTGAGCTACATTCAGCATAGAATTGTCAAGCTTTGAAGCATGTAGTTACAGGTCTAAGTTACTGTTGCTCCAGCATTAGTGTTATTTAATTCATTAAACAGCGTATGAGTGATTAATTCATAAAATGTAATATTAGCTGCCTTACTATCTTATCTGAGATACTGATTTATAATTGCTATGAAGTGGTATATATGAAAAATAGATTTTATTTGAATTATTTTGTAATTAGCCCTGTAGTTGTAATTTTGTAGTTGGCAGTTACTCATATGAGTTGCACTTCAGGATTGAAATATAATTATTGTGTAGCAGCAATATAATTATCATCTTTGTTACACGTACCTGGAATTTCTCATATAAAACTTACCTTTGGTAGGAGGCTGACTGAAAACTTAATTATTTTTTCTACTTTTCATAATTTATTTCAAATTTCAGTTCCCCAGGAAAGGAATACAAATGTTTTGAGAAAGACCATCCTTTTTCAACACTTTTTAAAAGTACTTTTATTTAATTTTAAAATTCATTGTTTCCTGTTAAAAACTTGTAATGTTATTTGAAAATAACATAAACCAAGGATTCATATTTCAAATAAAAATATTTTGACTGCAAATATCACTATTTTGTTTATAATATTTTCCAAGAAATTTTGCATTTATTTTCTTTTGGTTAGTAAATTGCAGAATTTTTCTCCTAATAACTGTAAAGATATTTTTGTTGTTAGTTGAGATTTGTTTATTTAGCTCATCCCTTTTACAGGTGACTGAGTTTTCTCGCACAGTGTCATGATCATTATCTAACAGAGTATGGTAATAAGATGTAGTCTAGTAAGAACATAATCCCATATTCTATTTAGTAGTAGGGAAATTAAGTTACCTGAGTTTATTTCATTGAAAAATCAGTAAAATTAGCAGAATGTGACATATACTTCCTGACATTTTTTTACTTCTTTTACAGTGTCAGGTCTCAGACTTACAATGTCTATTTATTTATTTATTTATGGATAAAGAGAGGAAATGCTTGGAAGCAGCAGTAACATTCCAGAGTGTTCAGTAAAATTATAATGCATTCCCTGTAAAGCAGAGATGCAAAGCAAATTAACACCCTTATCTTGCAGCATAAATGATGCTTCCTCAGAAAAAATGAAATTAAAAAAACAAAAGACTTTGCAGTTAACATGATTTGTATTTTCACAGGTATCCAAATTATGAATTTATCAGTGATAACTCCATATCCTGGTCAGCAGGACTTCATAACCGTTATACTGAAAATTCCCTAAGAGGTGTTATTCTGGATATTCACTTCTTGTCGCAGGCAGACTTCCTGGTCTGTACGTTTTCATCCCAGGTAAACTGCAATGCAAATACAATATAGAGTGTATGTACCAGTTGTAAATCTTAGTTTTCTTCATGCTCATGTTACCTTATTCTCAGTGGTCTCTCATGAAAACTTCAGGGAAGAATTAAAGGCTCAGTATGGTATGTGAGCATTTAAAGGACTGTAAGTACGGGTTGATTGCTTTTCCACTGAAGTTACTGGCTTAATTAAGACATTGGAAATGAGCAAGAAATTATATTAAACATGTGGAAGAGTTCCTTGTTTTGCATAAAGTTAATGTGTGACTTGTATCCATCCATTTCTATGCAGCTTAGTTAAGGCATTTAAAATAAGTAAACCCAATTTTAAACGTGTTTAACGCTTCATAATTTTGCATAAAGTTAATATATAACTTGTGTCTATCCATTTCTACACATCATTACACTCCACTACTGTTCAAAAATGTCTGCTGTTGCTTTAGTTGACTGTGACAATGAAAAAGAATTAAGAAAGCAGACATTTTTCTTCAGTCAATTACATTTCTAGCAATTTCTAGCATTTATGGCAGCTCCATAAATGTGAATTCTGACCACTGTAATCCGTACAGACTTCCTGTTGCAGATAATTATATCCTACAAGCATATCCTTTCTTGGGCGGTCTGATGAAGCAAGTTGGAGTCCATTAGAAAATGGAGTCATATAGTTGTGATCGTTGGCATTTTCTTGTTTATTATGTCATATTGTATAATAATTTAATATATAATGAAAAGCTGTTGTAAAAGCTGGTTTCAGATTGGAAAACGGTATTTTGGGACTGATACGCTGATCCACCTAATTCAAGTATGGCAAAATACAATTAAAATCAAACAAAGTGTATGTTTTTTAACCTGCCGTTGTCATATATGCTCTTAGGTGACACTCTTGGTTAGGAAAGTATTCAACTATAGATAGTGATAGATTATGATCACGCATGATTACACAGTTACATGGAAGTGAAGACAAAACTGAAAGTAAAAATTTACTTCAAACCCAAATTTTTCCATAACCTCAAATGTAAATTGTCTCTTGCATTGTCATGACAACTTGATAGGTAACAAGCATAATATTAACATTGTTATATGGTTGATACAGTGATGTATTGACCTTGACAGCCAGAATTCTTAATAGCATTACCATAGCAAGAAGACAGCCAAACAGAAAAGTATAGAAAAGCCTCTTATCCCACAGTCGTGCTTGTGGGTAGATTTTTTTTTCATTGTTTATTAAACCCTGTGAAGAAAATGACATTTTATAGCATACTTAGGTTACTATAGCCTAAGTCAGACCAAGACATGAATAAACTCCAAAGTAAAAATCCTCACTAAGAAAAGCTTGTGAGGGGCCATTCACTTTTATAATAATGCTTGATTCAGCTAAAGCATGTCCACTGAATGCGTATCACAGTGAAAAGGGTGATTATCAGCTGATACCTGGGGTTGTCTTACATTCCACACATGCGTTGGCGTAGAGGCAGTTCATATTCTGCAGGAAGAGTTATGCGGTCTTGGATAAAAACCTAACAAGAAATCTAGAACATTTTCTGCTATTATTATATTCACATAACTGTTAAAAATGGTAAATGTTTGCTTTAACTAGAACTCTTCATATAAACATAGGGGGAAAAAAGTGTTTAAATACAGGTACAAATGGCTTGGACAGAATATATTGAAATTGAATTGTACATGTTGGAGTCATGTTTATTGACATAGTTAAGGTGATACTAGTTGATCGTGACCTCTGGGGGTCATCTGGTGCAACCTCCTTTGAGGGTACCTTTGAAGTACGTGGTATCTTTGAGTTTCAGTCTCCTGCGTGTCCCTGCATTTCACACTAGACATGTTTGCTGGATGACGTATTTGGATTTCCAGAGTTGCATTAAGTTCAACTGAAGTCTAGGAAATCCTGTACTAAACCATTACTTTCAATAGCTGGGACTATGAATTTGGTCCGAGCATCTAGTTAATTTATTCTGGGCAATTTCTTCTGCTTTAATAATTCAAACTCTGCAAAAATCTTATAACACCAGTTTTACTGGTCAGGCAACAATGTAATTGATATACATTGGGCTTTTCTAAGGTCTGATGCAAGGTTTCCCACTGTTCATAAAGATTTCTCTTTTATGGTTGTAAAACTTGATCCTCTCATCTCTAACATTTGAACTACTATCCCTGTCCTTTCATCAGTGAAATGAACAATTTGGTAATTACTTTGGCATTGAATGTAAGCAAAATGAGGCTGTTAATGAGTATCTTTTGTCCAGTCTGCATGAAGAGAAAGTAAGGATAAGAATATAGTCTTAATTTCCAGTGTGATTTTGGACTTCAATCGATTGCATGCTGACTTTTTTCCATTTTATTTTCCTTGCCAGACAGAGTCAAAACTTCATTATGAGGTATTAAGAGAAAATTATAGTATATGTGGATAGAATCAGGTGCTTTATGAAGTCCCTTGTATTAAATCTTATTATGCTACCAAAACTAAATGAATACTGATAGAAGCTTAAGGATAGGTATTTCATTACAATACTGTTAAAAGAAATTAGGCCTATCAAGTGATGTGAAGTCAAGGGAAACAACCTACATTGGCACTGCATTTCAGCAAAATCATATTAATTGAGGAGTATAGAAAAACCAGATGGTAGTTACACAAATCGTAACACAGGAGCAGAATTAAGATTGCACATTAAAACAAAAAGCTTTTTTGTCTCTCCAGTCTTCATTTAGATGAAATTGTAGCTCCCTCTGCCTGACATATTTGTCTTCATAATCTCATTTCCTTCCAGAATTTATTAGTCATTGTACGTGTAAGTATACAGGCTGCAAAATAAATGCATGTGTGAATAAAAAAGGGAAGGCTGACTTTAGCTACAATACTGCATGTGGATTCTTTGCCTGCTGCCCTCAGCAGCTTACAGTTTAGTTACCCAGATGAGAGGAGATATTGTACGTTTTATGTCAGATATGCAGGACACTCACCAGAAAAGCATTTCTCCTGCAGTGATTTAAAATCTCTTACAGAAAGTCTGTGTGTATTCTCCTCCTGAAGTACACACACACACAGAGAAGAAAACATCAAAACAGTCACAGAAGCTATAAAATAAATAATCTCTTGCCAGTGTATGGGTAATCAAGTTTATTTCTATATTATGCGGTATAACAAGTACTTCGAAATAATTAACTTTAGCCTGATGTTCTGAGAGGTACTTTTGAAAAGTTATTTCAAAGATCAGATGGAAAGGGATAAAAGGAAATCTATTACATTTTTTTTTTTAAAGTGACTGCCTCTCGCAAAGGTAGGAAGGTACAAATATGTCTTTGTTGACTGATCAAAGTTCTATTCACCATATCTTCAGAGGGAGAAAAGTAAAATCAAGCTTTACTATATTTACGTAGACTGAAAGTTATGAAAAATCTCAAATGCTTCCTCATATTGAAGTCCACTGTATTGTTAGTTTATCAAGCTCTGTCAAGTTTACTTAAAATCAGAAAAAGATTCAGTAATGTAGATTAGAAGTCAGAAAGGTCACAGTGTTCAAATCAGATGCTTGACAAAGAAGAGCTTTTTAGCCAGTTGCTCAAAAGAGCTTTGTTTAATATAGTGGCAGCCTTTTGTGTTTCTAGCAATTCTGAGACACACAACACGATTCTGATGTGGGGACCTGGTTTTCAGTCTGAAGAAAATTCCTTTTGTAGAATGCTATACAATGACATTTCAAAATGCATCTTTCTTCTCACCAACATTGTTATTATCCTGCTGGAATTTAGTTTCACTTAGGTGTCTTCCAAGTTGCCAACAGTCATAATTCTGCAGCAGTTCTAATATTAACAACGTTTTAAAGCCTCGGATTTCTAGAACTGCTCGATTGTGAAAATTGGAGCTTTCCTTAGAAAAGTAAATGCAAAGCCTCATTATTGCAGAATAAATTTTGAAAACATAAGTTCTAAATGTTTAAAGGGAAGTAAAACACAGTTTTTATTAGTAGTAGAAAAGGAAAGCAAATTTGCATCTACATTTGATTTGCTACATATCATTAATTTTATAAAGCAGGGTGGCAAGTGTTAATATAGATGTTTCAAATCTTCAGGAAAAGTAGGCTGTTCTAATTTTTTATCTTTTTATTTAGCTGCTTTATTTATCTACTGAATCTGATCACCAGAGTACTCATGAAAATGCTGCTGCAAGATGTTGTGCTTCTTGTTAGAGATATACAGGGTTTTGGGTGTTTTGGATTATTTTTGTTGCTTGGTTGGGTTTTTTTAGTTGTGTTTTGGAGAGTTTGTGCCTTTTCGTATGTTTGTTTTATTCAGTTTTGGTTTTGTTTTTTAATCTGGACATTCCAAACCTTGATTGTCTTGTGAAATTTGTTACACATTGGTTGCTGACTCCTGTGGTATGTTGCAGGTACAAACAATATTTATGACTTTTCCTTTGTTTCCTAAGGTTTGTCGAGTTGCCTATGAAATTATGCAGACATTGCATCCAGATGCTTCAGCGTATTTCCATTCTTTGGATGATATCTACTACTTTGGGGGACAGAATGCCCACAACCAGATTGCTATTTATGCTCACCATCCTAGAACTGCAGATGAAATTCCTATGGAACCTGGAGATGTAATTGGAGTAGCTGGAAACCACTGGGATGGTTATTCAAAAGGCATCAATCGGAAATTAGGAAGAACAGGCCTCTACCCATCATATAAAGTTAAGGAGAAAATTGAGACAGTCAAGTATCCTACATACCCAGAAGCTGACAAGTAGATTGAAAGGAAGATCATCAGCAGAAATTCTCAATTTTGATTGGTTTGAACCAGTCAACACACTAACTAATGGTTTCTATGGGATTTGAATTTGCATTTTAACATGCAGTTAAAATCAAAGCCTTTAGCAATGAAACTGGATAAGAAGCTGAGAACAAATGGATGGGCTGATATCTGAACTTAAACAGGTTTTGTTATATGCACTCTCACACATGCACACATAAACCCACACACAACAGGGAAACTGTTGTTTTATACTTTTTGTCTCTTTTCAAGATTCGTCCCAGTCATTAGTCTTACGTGAGCTTTGGGCTCTTTTTCTCTGCCATTAATTGACAATAATGTTCAGACTTACAACACTGCCACATTGTGTAATTTGAGTGACATGAACGTATTTTGTATGTACAAAATTTAAAACATGGTGCCTATATTTGAAAAAATTGTGACCTTTTTAGAAGAGCCATGGCTATTTCACAATGGGTAAGAGTCAATCTTCAACTGGTGTTACCATGACCACTGAACTTGCTTCAAACAACAGATTCCGATTTCAGACTAGATTTCTTTTACAAGTTTCTTTTTAGCATTCCATTGATTACTTCTCATCATTAATAAAATAAAGAATACATCCAACAATAAAATAATCACTGTCTGTTAGGAACTTTGTAAAACGATGTCATGAACAGATTCTTTAGTACTGGTAATATTTCTGGACATTGGGTTTTATTGGGGAGGGTGGGGAAAGACAACAAACCACACAACCCACAAAGGAAAAAGTAGCTGGAGTTTCACTGGGTTTTTACACACTCATTAGGCAGTACAGCAGCTGCTCAGTGGCACAGTGCTGCTCCATTCTGTGGATGGTGGGTTTCAGCAGGATGGCTTCACTCGCTCAATTTCTTGCATTTATTGTCCAGCACTGTTCTTTTTACCTTCTGTGTTTCTCTTCTGAAAACATGTTTTTAGAGTATTATTATAGATGGCCATTCATCATTTTGGCATTGAGTGTAGTTACTTCTAAGTAAAATATTTCAGGTTATCCCATTTATAGAACCTGTCAATCTGGAGTGCTCTAAAAAAAACCCTAACAATTTACCCAGAAAAGTAGAATATACACAAGGATAAATTTTTATGCATGACATAAAATTGTTAGTACTTAGTGTTTTGAAATATGTTGCTAGTCTGCTCTCCATTAAGAAAAGAGGTAATTTGCAGAACAATTTTACAAACAGATTTGTAGATTTGGGGGTTGTGTGTGTGTATATATATATATATATATATATATATATAAAAAAATGTACAAGATAGCAAGAGATAATTTCCAAATAGAAAGGATGTTAATAGTGTTATACAGGATCTAGTGCAATCCAGTCTGGAATACTGGAAGCGAAGAAGATGTTTACTATTCACACTGAGAAAATACCACATGAGTAACAATTTAAAAATTATGGCTGCTTGACCTTAACAAAGTAAAATTTAAAAGGCTGTTTAATAATATTTATGAATAGACCAAGGACAGTGTTGACATGATGAATGGATGCACTTGACCATAAATAAATTTTAGACTGAAAAGTAAAAGGAAAATGCTGGTGGTGTGAAGCTTAGCAAAAGTCTTCCAATTGAAATAGCGGTGAGTAAGATGGAACTTCATTGGTATGTAAAGGAATTAACAAAGTAATTCTCTGTGACATTACTTGCACGACTAATCTGCTAGATCCCTTCCAGTTATGTGTTCCTCAACCAAAAAATGATTTTTTGTCTTAAAAAAGAGTAAGTTGAAAATGTCTGTGGAAAACAAGTTGCCTGTTAGTAGTATTAAATAGACTTGTCAGTAAAAATGAGCATAGATATAAAATGAGGTTTAAAGATGGATTGAAGGATAAAGGTAAATGAGTAAGAGTGCTGAGAAATGCAAAATATGATGACTTTTTGTGACAAAAGATATCTAGATTTAACTGGTGTTTCTGTATTTTGGAGGTACTGAGGAAGCTGTTCAATGCTAGATTCCTGTCTAAGTAATTCTGATAAGTTTTCCACTAACGCAGCCAAACTTATGGTATTTCAGAGGCACAAATGTAGGCTATGTTATAACTTATTTTTACTTAAATTTGAGTTTATATAAGTATTTGAGTTTACTCAAATAAGTTTATATAAGTTTACTTAAATTTGAGTTTATATTCATATAAAGCTATTGCTACTTTCCTTTTCAACTTGGAAAAAAACCACCTCCCAACCCACAAATATTCCTCCCTCAACAGTGAGATCAATGCATTTTATCTCTGGGAAAAGTAATTCAATTATTACTCCACAAATACTGCATTATCTATTTGATATTTATAGATTTTGAAAATGTTTTGTTTTTGAAGCTCTTTACTTATAGCTTCAGAGTTTCCAGTTCATTTCTTAGAGTGTGAAGCAGAAATTCATAAGTGAGTTAATGTATGAAAATTCCTCCATAGTCAGGTAACTCAACTGAAAATGTCACTAAAGAAGACAAGTACCAAAACATCTAAGATGATCCCAAAAGCAAGAGCAGATCTTCTGAGGTATTAATGAGACAAAACCTTGACGTTACAGAGGATATAAGTATATAATGGTGCAGTTTCTCAACATATTCTATCTGACAAAATATTGACAATGTACATGTGCCTCACATATTTTAAGTACCTAATGAATAATTAGCTCATCATTTTTGAGGAAATTATCATGAAACGATATGAAATTATAAAATTATTGTTAATAATTAAGAAATGTACTAATGTAGATGTTATGACCTTATTCCCCTGGGAGGCATGATTCTCTATTGCTTATAATGCCAGGGAAAACACCTAGCAATAGGTTGCTTACAAGATGCGTATGTTACTAGAGATTTGTCTCCTTTAAGACTACCAGTTGTTTATGTTTTGGAATCCTGAGACCTTGGGACATTAAAACTGAGTTTATTTTATATCAAACAAAATGAATATTAGAGACTTTATTCTCAGTTATGGTGGTATCCAGGTAGTATGGAAGGACTCATGGGTGAATGAAAATGAGACCCCCAGATTTTTATTGTAGCTCACAGAAAAGTGAAATAACAGGAAATAAAATGTTTTTCTTAAATACCTGAAAGAAAGCTGAATCTTTTGAAAGTTTTGAAGTCAAGATACTAGCCAGAATGTTTGCAAAGAAGCAAGTATGCATCTTCCGCCTTCTCCTCACCTTGTGGCTCTGCAACAATCCAGTCATGTAATTTTTCCCTCGTACCAACCCATGTCTGTCATCCATAAAGCAAAGCCCTCATACTCTTTTAAACAAGTGACTTTAATTAAATCTTTCATCTTTAAGAAGCATTTGTGTGTGTGTGCGTGTGCATGTTCATAGAAAGGAATATGATCAGTACTCATTCCTTCTTTGCTATTTGACATTATCATTGTTGCATTCTCTGTAATCATTTACCTGTTGGCTAATTGTAGTCTCTGGAAACTGAATATTCAACTTGCATCTTACCAGCTGGGCTAAGAAATTTATTCTGAGTAGTTCAGTTAGCTGGTATTCTGTGACATTGGTGCACCTGGAGGCCGGGGTCATGGCAACAAGTTGTTGCTCTCACTACAAGCACTCCCACTTGAGTTCTGCCCTTGATTTTCAGTCCAACCTATGGTAAGAATCATGGGATTCCCAAGCTTCCTTTGCCAACATACTGTCTCTGTGAATTGCAAAGTATGATGGATTTGTACATGAAGCATGATGCTTTATTTTAAAACATTTACCTTCAGAGAAGTCTTTGGTCTACCCATTCTACCACTGAATTCTACAGTTGCAGTTACCAGAAAGATTTCTCTCTTTAACCAGTTTTTGAGAAAAGAGAGTGGATGGTACCTTTCTTATGGAAAGATACTCACATGGTGAAAGTTTGCTTCATAATGGGTTTTATGTTTCTTTGGTATGCAATTGTAAGTGTCGTGTCTTCTGAAATGGGAATATAACAGCACATAAAATTTTCAATACAAATTCTTGATAAGGGGATGGAGATTTTCATTTATGCCAGTGGAGCAGAACCTACCATTTTTACCATTTTAGATTGGATATAAGGAAAGAAGTTCTTTACTGTGAGGGTGGTGAGGCACTGGAATGGGTTGCCCAGGGAAGCTGTGAATGCTCCATCCCTGTCAGTGTTCAAGGCCAGGTTGGACAGAGCCTTGGATGACATGGTTTAGTGTGAGGTGTTCCTGTCCATGGCAGGGGGGTTGGAACTTGATGATCTTAAGGTCCTTTCCAACCCAAACCATTCTGTGATTCTATGATTTAGATTATTTCAATTCAATAAATAGAAACTTTTCTTTTTCCAGGTCCTAAGTTTGTTTGCAATGTAATCTCTCAAGTGTCTGAAGAATCCAGGTAAAAATCATTTACTTAGTTTGGGAGGTAGGAGGGAGAGGATCTGATGATGTGTATCAGTTTGTAAAGCCACAAAAAGACCTGTTCCATGCTGTGTTAAGGACCTGTGCCACAAAATCATTCTGCTCTTTCCTAAAAATACTTAAAATTTGTTACCTCTCTTTTGATTATGCTTAATACCAGTCAGAGTCGTGTGTGGAAACATCATGCTGGTCATATTCTGATGATTGGTGGTTGTTACATTGAAATTTCATTAATATTTGAGTGGCTTGGGAGCAGGCTGTCAGAGGGCTCAAACTTCGGTTCTCTTATCATGTTGAATTAAAACTGCATTTAAAACTCACAAAAATTTTATGTCCATAAGGCACTACTAGAACTAGTAGTTCACACACTCTTGTCAGAGGCCCCTAAATTTACCTGCAAGCTTATTGTGAGCAAGACCAAAGCAAAGGAAGTTATGCATGAATATTAACCACAAACTGGTTGGGTTAGACTTCCTAGTATCCTATTCATTTCAAAAAAGCATTAGATGTGGCAATGCATGATAAAATAAGAAGACAGTATAAAACTTTTAAGCCTGTAAACAACAATTGCTAGTCTGCCTGTGTCACTCACTGGTTGCGCTCACAGTGAACAAGGTTATTTCAGAATACATAGGGCAGAGGTCTTCCAGTATTGCTACAGGCATCTGAGAATCCCTTCCCTTGATGTATTTGCTGGTCTTTACCCCTTTTGGTACTCTGTACAAATACCTACCAATGCCAGTGATGATTGCTAATCAGTGGAGCCTCCTTTTATTTTGTATGCTTGTTTCCTTTGACTCAAGTTACTTGTCAGCAGAATCCTGTCGCCACTGCAATTCAAGCAATTTTAGATTAATCCCAAGGCATGCCAATTCTTTGTACCAAATCATTGAGGCTTCCTGAAGACTGGCATTTTGATGTGTCTCTTCCATTAGCCTCACTGCTTATTCACATCTGAGCCTGATCTACCGTGGCTGTATGAACCTCCTTCTGCTTAGTGTGTTTCCTTGCCTAGTGGCTAGTGGTCATTACTTGACCGGGAGTCCAAGGGACAAGTGTCCATATCTGATTTTCCACAACATGTGAAATTGTATTTCTTGCATTTCTTGCATATATTTTCCCTAACTGCTGTAGTCAAGGATCCAAAGAGAAAGCACTATAATCAGATGTGCCTAATAAGTATTTAGGAGGCTTACAAGACATAGAAGTTCTTTATCTAATAAGATTTACAGCTCACACTGCGGCAATCTCCTTGACCAGGTGTGACGCGTTCTCCTAGCATTCCCTATCCATTTCTGCCTAGTTCTTACAGACTAATGCCTGCAGCTTAAT